TTATTATTTAAATAGAAATTTTCTCTTACCCCTTTTCTCAACTCTTAAAGGTATATTTATGATAATGATTCATTCTTTTTTTATTATTAATTAAATATAATTTACTAATAATTTAATTTTAATACTTATTATTTGACAATTATATATATATATTAAACAAATAAATAGGAATAGAAAATATGGACGACTTAATACGAGCTATATATTTACTATATTCTTACAATCCTGAACAATATATTCGTCAAATTCGATTTCTTAATAAAGAAGTCGAAATAATATATATAAATGATACCAAAACATGTTGCTTTTTTCAAGAAATTGGAGATATTAATAATTTTCATAAAAAATTAGCATCTCAATTGGATTCAATTATTAATATTAATAATATTAATAAAACTCCAAATGAAAATAATGAAATTTTAAATGTGAAATATGAAGAACTTTATTCTTTTTCTCGTAAGTATGCTGTATTTAATTTTTAATTTTTGATATATATTCTTTATTGAATAACTTCAACTTTGTTAAGGTAAAGATATAATGCTAATAGATGATGCTAATGAAAACAGTAAAGTAATGCAAATGGATAGCAGTAGTGATGCTGAAGGTGAAGGTCATACAGAAGATGATGCAAAAAGTGATAATGAAGAAGACGATGAAAATGATAAGAGTAATGAAGGAAGTGAAGAAGATAAGAATAAAGATGAGGATGAAGATAAGGATGAAGATAAAAATAAAGATAAGGATGAAGATGAGGATAATGATGAATGAAATATTAAGCGACAATGTAAATCTATAATTTGATTAGTTTTATTGGTTTAAAAAAAAAATACTTACTCTAATTTTTAATTTTAGGCATTGTGACAAAAACCTCTAAATGGGTTAATCAGTCCTCTATACCTGCTTTTCTTCAAGAAGTATCCCAAGATATTATAAACCAATGTGTCATTTTAGCATCTATTACACAGGATACTAAATTTGACAAAATTGAAATTAATCCAACAAAAAAAATTGCAACACTTAAGAACAATCGGGGTGAAATTATACTTGAGCCGATTAACTCTGTAGAAATTTGGAAGTCAAGCATAAACATTAAATTCCCTAAATTAGAAAGGGTTAGTAGAAAGCAATTTAACCAAGATCCTTACCCAATTCTTGGCTATTTTGCTAATTTTCAACCCACTAAAAAAAAGGATATATTAACTGGTAATAAATTAAAAGTTTCAAATCAATATCATGAACTATTGGCTTTTGAAGGGGAACTATCTGTTATTGCACCATTTTATGATAAAAATTCTACTATTAAAAAAGATGATTATTATAAAAGTCTTCTTAAATATCTAAAGGAACTTTCTATACTTTGTAAAACTTCAATAGTTCAATTTGATCCTACTCAGATTAATGGTAGATTAGTTTTAAAATATAAAATCTTAGATTATCAAATTCTGATAATAGTTTAGATTTACAAGATCAGATTATGCTTTTAAGGTGTATACCACAAATATCTTAGGATCTTAGGGTTAGTAACTGTTCAAAGCATAATACATCAGATAAAAAAGTGCAAATTTTTACAACATTAATAGGCATGTGCTATTAGTCTATTTTTGATTGTAATATTACAACTTATAATATTGAAGTTTCTCGCAGAATGTCGCTTCGATTTTTGTATAAATTTGAATTAGCATATAATTACTTAATAAAATGGGTAAAAAAATATACAACCTGTGAAAAAGGAACCACGTGTGCAAATCAAGTAAGGTCTTCACTTACTGGAAAAGAATTACTATCTAATATGTTTAATATTAATCAATCAAACAATTCATTTAATATTAAACAAGTTATTAATGGGAATTCTTTTAAAGTAAGAAAAAGAAAAAAGAATCAAGATTTAGAAAGCTATTCAGATTTGAACATAAATATT